CACCGCTGACAGACGTGGCAGAAGCTACAGAGTTCACGGGAAGCGCCTGATGGAACACGCGCATCCCAGCTGCCTGGCACAGTTGGCGGCCATCTCAGGAGATGGATCATCTCATCCCAGGGCTGAGACAGCAAACCAGGGACAGAGGTGAGCTGCCCAGATTTAGAAGCAGACTGACAGAAAGGCAAGAGCTGAACGCTCTGTGGGAGGGCTTTCCAGCAGCTGCCGCTCAACACAGAGCAGACAGCAAACCTCCTGCACAGCAAACCAGAGCTCACACCTAATCTAACGCTACCCCTCTCAGAGCTCACAGTGGGAAATAAAAATGACAGCAGTTTTATAAATAAAAGAGCTCGCTGTCACCCACGGGGAACACGAGATGCTTTGGCAGAGGCAGGTCTTGCAGTCACCTTGTTTTCACTTCAGTCAGTCACTCTTCTGAGATGGCGGCTTGGGCTTTCTCCTAAAAGAGGGGTCACTTGCTGTATGTTGATGACCCTAAAAAGCAAACAAACAAAAACACCACCACCACATCAACCAGGAGTAGAGTCAGATGCCCATTTTGAAGCTGGACAATTCTTCTGGTCCAGGTCTACACATCTACCAAGGGAGGCAAGGAAGTGTGGTCCTTTCCATGCTAAGAGCACGGAGTTCTTCCCTCCTACTTTGCTCACCCCCAAAGAATTGCAATACCCTTAGCAAGAAGAAAGCACCAGTCCTTCAATTCTGCATGAGCATTAGATCAATCAGAAAAACAAATGTGAGAAGAGAAAACATAAACCTGAAGCCTTACAGTTCCAGACTGAGTTCTAGCATTGGCCTGCATAACACTGATGAAGTTGATTTCTATCTACTAGCACTGAGCATGTACCAGGCCTAGCTACCGCAGAAGAGAAGACATCCACCCTATTTGACTTACAGCCTCACCCCAGAGGGCTTCTGATGGGACAGTGGAGGCAGGCCCCATCTGAACTGCCAGGTTCAGCATCCACAACACGGAAGATGGCTGCTCCTCCTTATCAATACAACTGGCAGCTCAGGAGAAACAGAGAAGCCTCTACGAAAAACGAGGGTCCACACTGCAGTTCAGTTGTTTCCATACCAAAAGCATTCACATTTTAGTGCAGGACCATTAAACCCACCTTGGGACCAGCCTTCCAAAATGAATTCTTTGTGTGGCAGATGTCAGCACTGCAAGGCTGTGCCTCAGAAGAGGTCTTCTGTAATCCTCATGGCAGCCCGGTCTCTTTGTGCAAACACTGTTGGCTACAGACACATGAAAAGGCTCAGAGCACAAAGCAGGAGACATTTTGTAAAGCCACGAGTGGACAGACAGCGCCTTTCGGAGAGAAGCATTATACCTAATGCAGCACTGCCCCTCCAAGCAACAGCATCCTGGGGTTCATTGGCACAGGTAAAATCTTTCACATCTGCTGCACTTACAGTAAGAGGGATGACAGCTTCTTTACGAATGCACAGAGCTTCCAAAGAAGAACAGCATGGAGGGTTGCCGTGGAGACTGCAGTAAGCAATGTGCTGCCAGATGACTGGGTCTCATACCACAGCAGGCATTTGCCAGAAGGGTGATCTCAGCAGTGTGTGCCGCATTATCAAATATTCCTTGATGGAAAGAGTGAGTCTGTGTAAGGATCGGGTGAATCAGGCTGCACGGAAGGTGGCTCTTTATGTTACCAATTAGTCACGTTCTTGGGCTTTGCCACCACTGCAAGTGGCACGGCTGCGGTTCTCAGAGCAGAGCAGCCTTTCTCTCCAAGGCCACAAAAAGCAGCAGGGCTGGCATGCAGCACTGGGCTGCAGGGGACCACAGACCCACCAGCTGCCCTCCGTTTCACCACAAGAGATGCAGCACAAGATCATCCCTACCTCTGGTCAAACCACAGCAGGGAACGTGTCGAAGAGCCTTCTGCTCAGTTTGGGTAAAGCACAAAGCAGCTGCCCAGGTGACTCCTGACAGAAAGCAAAGCTCCCCATCCCACAATGTATTACACTACCACAGGCCTCCCAACCACTCCCAAGCGTCCCCCCCACCCTTAACATTTCTGCCTTTATTACATTTTATTCTAGTCTTGTCCCTTGCACAACTACACGTTAAATATTTACTTGCCCCTTCTCATACTGGCTCCAATTTGACAGTGCCTCCAAGGCCCGGTCCCACTCATCCTTCATGGAAGATAGCTTTACCCCATCATAACTCATCTATTTAGCAGATGATATTTTAAGAACTACTTCAGCATTAGCTGAGCTACTGGTTACACAGCATTGGCAGCACGGGAGGATAAGCAAAGAAAGCAAACCATGGGAAAATCCTCAGCTTGTTAAGAAAAAGCAAGCTTCTTGACTAAGCGCTAGGCACAAGCAAAGCCAAAAGTAAAGAACAGCTATTGCCATATGTTCAGTTTGCCATTTAGTTCAACATTCCAAGGGTAATCTTTCCCATTTTCACCATTTGGAGATATGCTTACACGCTACAGAAGGTCTTTGCACAAACCAATGGGTCTTGGTGCTCAAACTACCAACTATCAACGATTGCCAGTCTTTGAGACACATGTTTCTACGTCATGAAGTTCCCCTATCCAAAGCCTTTTTGTTTCAGGACAAACATCAAAGTGACACCAAAAGAGTTAACCAGTTCTCCAAGAACACGATGAGCGTTAACCCACTTGTAGCTTTGTGCTCTCTTCCACTGTGGAATCTGGGAGAGGAACAGATCAGGTGGAAAATTAGGAAAACATTTCTCATAGTGAGAAATCCACCAGGCCTCCCAAGGGAAGCAAAAAAAAGCTCTGATGCTTGAGTCACTTAAAACTGGACCAAGTACAGGAAAAGTTAGTGGAAGGGAACAAGCCTTCCCTATTGTGGGGAAAATGGAGAAGTTGGATGACCTCAGATCTTTCCCATCTCCAGTTTGTATGGTTCCAAGAGCGTGAAAGCAGTAGTTCACCCAGGTAAGTCGACGACTGGTTGTTGCTATCAACCTGCCACAGGATGAGCCAACCCAATCAACACAACTCATGCAACAGCAGTCAGGACCTGGACCACACTGAGCTTGAGGTGAGGAGCAGCTGCTAACAGGAGTAGAAGTGTCACATCTACAGGATGCAGATCTACAGCATCTACAGGAAAACCTACACTCTATGCAACAGTCAGGCACAGCAGCTGCTTTTGATGGGTGTTAATATTATATTGACTGGTTGAACCTCCAAGATGAAACACTTCAGACCAATATTATCTGACAATAAACTCACACTTCATATAGTGCAAGCGTCAAGTTCAAGTGCTTTCAGACAGATCCTTTTAGTTACTCACAATGCCAATGGCTTCAGGAGAGCTAATAGTCAAAGAAAGACACCCAGCAACACTGTACAGGATACTACTGGCTTTGCTGTTTAAGAGCCACCTGCTCCAGGAACAGCTACCTATTACCAGCTGGAGAGAGGAAGAAAACCCCACTGGGAAAAGTTCATTCCTTGATCATCATCAGCCTTTCACACACCTTGGAAAGGACTGGTGTCGATGCCTGGAAGATACTGCCTGGGCAGCCCAGTCATTTAATGGCAAACCCTGACAAGCACGAGTTAACTCTGACACATGGTCCAGCCATTAGAGACCTGCGCTGACTGACCACAATACACCAGCAGATAAACTCCAAGGCATCAACTCTGAGTCTACCAGGATCTCTGTAAGGCAGCAATTACCCGTGCAAGGACACTTGCCCTTGACAGCAACTTGGCAGAGCAGTGAGGAGGGCTATTAGATTGCAATTCTAGCAGAGCGCCAGCTTGCTTGTTGAAACGTGGTATTTGCAGTATGATGAATTCTGATTTCAAGATAATTTATAGCCTCAGTAAATAAACAGGCTTATGGCTGTTTAAACACTGTTTAACAGTCGTATACAACAGCTCTGGGCAAGCACACTGAAGAACAGAACAGTTGTCTGAGCTGGGAAACAGACAGCAGCAGAAAGCAAGTGAAATCCAAAATACTTCCCATCAGAAATGAGCCGTTTCCTCTCTCAAAACCAAAACAACCTCTGAACGCAGTTCTTGCTCACCTTTCTCCTCATGTCTGTGCCAGAAGATCAAAACCTTTTGTAGAAGGCTATGTTGTCCTGTCACCTTTCACGGGGTGCCTTTTGCACTGGCTGATCCCAAACGCTGTGCCTCAGCTCACACCAGTTTTGCTCGTCTGTTTGGGACACAGTAGAGATTGCAGTGACATCTTTTGGGTTTTCTAAAGTAGAACTGACAGACCTGGAAAGTCTGGAGATAGATTCAGAAAGCAAGTTAAGACACCTTTGAAACCAGGGTCGTAGGGATCTACTATTTGCTCTGTTACCTGGGATGTTTTGGACTGAGAGACATTTCTGCTCCTTCCCTATCCCCGTTTAATACACAAACATGCTTGCAGGGAAGTTGCATGAACCTGCAGCTCCAAGAACAAAAGAAATCATTAGGGGCTGGAAGCACCAACCTGGGAAAAAGAAGCCAAAAGGGAAATTACAGGGAAGAGCCACCCTACAGATGCTGAAACACACCAACCCTCTGGACAGTGGAATTATTCTGGACAATGCAAGGGGCTGGATATTCCCTAAGAGTCATGGGATGAGAGGAAAAGGAAAATTTTAGCTGCCTACCAAGGGTTGCTCCCAAGAGGAAGGCTCAGATGAGTCTCTTCTTCCAGGGAAGGGACAGTACGTCCTCCCTGCAACCAGCTTATCACCCCACCGCAGCACACAGGAGATGTAGGAACAGCCCTGCCAGGAGCACAGAGGAGATGAACTCATTCCCTCCCCCGTGCTCTTGTTCCTATAGATCAAGCCACTCAGAATATTTATCCCATGTTTCGATTGTGCCTATGGGTCTACTTGGCTTGCTGCTCTGAATAAATTAAGAGCAAGGAAAGGGAAATTGCTGAACACAGCCAAGCCGTTGTACGGGGCCAGAAACCTTGCCACTCTTGGACAGCAAATTCCCACTCCAAGCAGTGATGTTACAAGGTCAGAGCAGGGAGCCATAGAATTTACTGGTGGGCTTGCTGGCACCTAGGCCAAGTACAGGGTCAGCAAGGCAAAGAGAGCTCAGCAGAAGGAAGCTAGAAGGGGGTTTCAGCCATACATTACACCATGGCTGAAGCACAGCATGAGGGAGAGGCAACAGGAACCACCAGAGCCAGGGATGAGCAAGAAGACAGTCCTGCCCATACAGGATGTGAATAGCCTCTGACATAAGGGTAGCTGAGTCTCTTGGATGAAAGACAGCTTACAAAGCCACCTGCCACTGCCTTATTGGAGCCTCAGGCAATCCTCTCAGGCCTCCATTTTCCTCTAAAGACAGGACAATAGTTCAGAACTGCCTCTGTAATGACAAAACACACAGGACATTACTGCTGCAGATGATCTCATACAGACATGAAGGCTTCACACCAGCAAACATATTTCACAGATAGCACAGCTTGCCAGCACTTACCTGAGGAACCAGTGCAGAGCTGGGGCAGCTCCCAGCCTCGTTCCCTCTGTAATTACCACGTCTCACTCAAAACAACACAGCTCATGCTGTAAAGACTGCCAGGAACACTCATGCCTCTCTTCACCCTGCAGGAAGAGTTCACACATAGATGGAAGGAAAGCAGAGGCCTGATTCAATGGCTAAGTGATGTCTTGACCTAGAAAGTTGGCATCAGAGTCCAAAAGCTTGGATGTGAAGTTGATTTTCTAAAGAACTCAGAAGAGCTCAAGACGCAGCCTTTGCCATGCCTGTACATGTGCACCTACATCCGAGCCAACTGCAAGTCTTGTGCCTGCACTAACTTGGTACCAACTTAGCACTGGAGGATCTTGCCTCTTAGCTGAGTTCACTGTTACTACAGGGTGCCAGTTCATAACTGGTTTGTGTCCAGAAGTCTCTGAACACAGGCAAAATGAACATGCACCTACCTGCAGAATACCAGAGACATTCAGACTGAAGCAGGTCAGGTTCTGAGTGAAGTCAGGATCTACAGGGATACCATCTCAGTCTCTCAGATGTTAATTCCACACTACCCTGGAGCACTTTGCTTAGAGTGCTAGGAACCACGGCATCAAGCAGCAGCAAGTTACCCACAGTCACAGAACACAGGAGATGAAAACACAGCAAAGTTGAGGGTTGTTTGTTTGTTAAGTTGTAGGTCTGACCCAGAACATTGTCAGAACAGCTACCAGTTGGTTAGACAGTAGTAGGTGGCACACAGAGCACCTAGAGACCCCTGTCAGATATTTACAGAGAGGCTTAGCATACTTCCAAAATCTTTCCACCAGATCTAGTTTTGCTCACAGGCGTGGGTGTTACTGAGAATCACTGCTGCTGGGAAGAATTGTTCAGCAAACACACTTTGAACAGGATCCATACAGAAGAGGTTTGTATTTCCTGAATGGAAACGAAACCCCTTTATATAGGCTGGATTGGAGATTCAATGGCCAAACTGTTCCCTTCAGACCTTATTTTCTTTGGACCTCGAGCATACCCCACATGAGACATCTGGCAAAGGACTTACAGGATACAGTTTGCTTTGGCACTGGATGGGTTTGGAGCTCACAATGTTTAAATAGGATTTTATGAATTGAACAGTCTTGCTCTCTTCTGTAATGCTTCAAATTAAGGTTTCCACATGTGCCTTTAATAGAGATTCACTAAGACACTTATTGCACGTTAAATAAACATCACTCAGTGAAATAGAACACCCTCATTGAGGGATTAACAAACATACAATTCAGTCAGGCTGCTGCAGCTGTTAAACCTCAAATACAACTTCAATGTCATAATCAGTCATTTTATTAAGATAATAATTGCCCTGTTAATGCTAATTAAATGACTAATGCCCTCACAGTCCTGTGATGCTGTTCACTGATAACCCCTGAAATAGATGCAGCAGCCTACTCCCTCCCCATCTTCGAGACAGCTCAGGTTAATTAGCAACTCTGGACTCTCCTGTTCACTGCCTGCTACTCCAAATAAACTTCCAGAGAAAAGTCAGAGCTGTGATCTGTTTCCCTGGAGAAGGAGGAAGGCATAAAAACCAAACAAACAAAAACCACCAAACATTTGGGTTTTGTTCCTCTCTCTTCCTGAGAGGAGATGGCAAGTCAGTCAAGCCAAATGGCTTGTTTTTAACCAGGTAAGCAGAGTAGAGGAATAAATACCAGCCAAAATCATCGGCTATAGTGCCAGTAAGGTAGAAAGGGATCACTGCCCTAACCACGAGGCCCACATACATACCTGTGTCCTGCCAAGAACACCTCATTGGGACCTTACTCACAGAGCTGGGGAAGCCCAGACAACCTGCTGGTCCAAGACCATGCTCAGATGCTCAGAGGATGCCAATTCACAGCCTGTACCTCCCAGCACAACACTGCAACCCCAGCTCCTTCCCCAGGACTGTCTCAAGCTATGCAGACACCCAGCTCTGTGCTCAGTACATTGGACACAGCTGTTCAGCCCCCACAGCCTAGAAGCTCGTGCAGGAGTCGAGACCAGACTCCACTGCCCAGTGGTTCAGCCTGACCATCCATCATGAGATGGACCAGATGTTCCAGCAATGGGCTACAGCAGGGCTCAGCAGCAGCCATGGAGCCTGCAGCCAAGGCAATGTTGTAACACTTGGCAGCCTATGCAGAGAGATTCCCTACCCCTCGTTCCCAGATTTTAGGAATGATTATTACTTTAAAAGTTTAAAATAAAGAAGGGGAAAGAGGATTCCTTGGGTCTTCATCATTTTAATTGGACGAATATCTTCCATAAATGGTAAATGTAGCTGACCTCATAAAAAAAAAGCAGAGAGGAGCAAGTTACCACTTGCCATGTGATAGTAACCTTTCTTGTAGCTCACGGATTCAAGTTACTAGCACAGGCAGGCTTCCATTTGTAAGACCATAAAATAACACACTGCCAAGCCCTATAATGGACTGCAGATTTAGATATTGATTAATTGTTAAACTATCTCTGCAATGTACTATGTTAAAAGGGAAATGACCTCATGCTTCCTTTGAGACTCCTCACCTTCCTCCTACTCCAAGAATTTCTGCAGCATAGCTTGCTGCTGTCCTTGCCATCCCCTTGTTGCATGGAGCTCCAACACAGTTCACACAAGTCCTTTGGAACATGTTCATCTTACACTGAAGCTTCTTCTTGTGGTATTCAGGAAGGGGAGGGAAAAAAAAACAACAAAAAAAGGGGTCAGATTCAAGCAGAAAAACCCACAGTAAGAACATAAGGAAGAACAGGAAGAACATAGCCCAAGATGCTTGAGATGTGCAGGCACACAAGTGTCACAAGAGCATGCCAAAGCAGATATGTCTAATATTCAGGGATCAGAGCAACATCTCAACTGGAGAGAAACACTGAATCCTGCTCCAAGCCTGAGGCTCCAGAGAAGACAAGTGGCAGGAGGGGAGGCCAGTAACCATGACAACCTCTCCTTTTTTGGTACCAGACAACAGAGATGACTCCTGTCAACACAGGCCCTATAGCCACTGTCTTCATTTCCTTTTTCTCAGGAGGGCCCTCCATCAGCACAGCTACACTGCAACGTAACACAGCTTCCCCAGGCTTCAGAAAGGCTTCCCCTTCATTCAGAGGCCACAAAATGAACACCAGTGGATCCTGAGCAGCCATCGCCTTCCATTTTCCTGCCAAAAGCAGAAGATAACAAACAGAAAAGACATGTGAAAAATAACACGTGTGCTAAGAGACAGAAGTTAAATAAATCCACCATTTCATGGCACAGTTTCACCCACCTAGAACAGCCAAAGCAATTCTGAAACACGCCACTTAATTCTCGTTGTTATTCACTGTGCACATCAGGTAAGCAGCTTCCACCTCCACTGGGCAACCTCATCACTGACTTTTTTATGATCTATGCACAGCACATAAGGTGAGGAATGAAATTAAAACTACTCAGATCCCAGCTCTTACACAAACATGGCACAGGACAAGGCAGCACCCTCCCAACACACCTCCCAGGCATCTTAAGCAGCTCATGCAGAAGTAGATTCTTTCTCCTGCCTTCCACTGAAGCTTCCCAGCACTTAAAGCACTTTTTGATTGCGTTGTTTTCCCAGCACATCCACCCAGCTACAAAACAGAGATGTTCCAATAAAAGCAGTGGTACCTCAAGGCAGCTATTTGTTGATATGGTCTTTTTCCACTTGGGCTGGAGAAGAGGGTTTCTAGATCTTTGGTCTCCTAGGAAAGGGCTCTAGCAGCTGGTTGAGCTACAAATGGAAATCAAGCAGTTGAGGGTGAAGGGGCAACAAACCCCACATTAGCTTTGCAGCTTTCTTGGATCTTTGCTCCAGCTCAGAGTTTTCACATGTAACATTTACTTTATCAAAGCGATTTTCAAAGCCTGCAACACATGCACCCCTACCTTGTCTCCCAGCAGAGAATTAATTCCTTAACTCTCAAGCACCTCCTCTCCAGAGGGCAACTGAATAAAAACAACAGCCCTACCTCCCCACCACAGTTCAAATAACATTTGTACTTCAACATTATGCTGTATTACTCACTTCCCACTGTAGTTTTCCTGCACGTTTCCAACCATAGATTCCTGAAAGCAACAGTTCAATCTCCTGGATCTGACGTAGAGAAGTTCCAGCTAGAGCCTCCAGCACCCACCTACAAAAACACATCCCTGTTTAATCTCACTGCTGTGCTTTAGAATTTTTACTAATTTCTCCCCTAAATCCCCCTGTACCCCAGAAACAGCAATGGAAACTCACCAAGTGAAAAAGCCACAGGCAGCTCTGCAGTGATGAGCAGTATTTATGCAGCACCTGGTGCCCACATTCAGCCTATCAGGCTGATTAGGGAAGAACTTACCTCCTCCTGAACCGAGCCTGGCTGAGAGGACAGCAAAACAACCCGAAACAAAACAGCACACAAGAGCCCATGTTTCCCTAGTTAGAGGTTCAGTTTTCTTGAGGATCTGGTTTTCTGGTCTGTGGTTCCTATGTGCAATCCACATAGCCTAAAGAGAAACTCAGTGCTACAAGGAGCACCAGGACTGTTTCAGATGTCAGTGCCTATGGCTGCTGTGTTGATTTTTGAGGGAACAAATGTGCCTGGTGAGGCAGGGAGGTTAACATAACTCTGTCACTGTTCAATGCTACGAAAAGCATTAAGGTTCAAGGAGTGAATACAGAGATCTGTGGCGAGCACACAAAAACCTTATTTGGAAATGTGCAGATTTAAACATACAAAAGAATAAGAATGGAAACAAAATGTACAGAATTTCAAAGCTGACATCAGACGAGCTCTGCAGGACGACCTTTTAATTAAACCATATTAAAGGCCCCTTTTCAGAAAAAAAAGCACAGGGCTTTAAAGCTGTCCTCTTCTTTAAACTATTTCGTAAAGGAACTCTTCTCACGTGGGAGATGAATGAGGATTGAGCCTTGGGTTGAAGAACAGGTTGAGTTTGAGGATGGGTAGCGCCCTGCCTGTGGAAGCCCATCAGAAATGGAGAGGAAGAGGATGGTAGTAAAGTGAGGAAACGTGGCTTCCAAGGGGGGGTTGCAGAAGAAGGTGGCAAGTGAGTCAGTCTCGCTTCATCAGGTGCTGTCTGGGCCACTTCTGGCCTGGGAGATCACCTGGCTGATCCAGTCAAACCTCTTTCTTTCTCCATGAAATGAACATCACTCAAAGCCGAGGAAACTGGGGGGAGAGCTCAGGGCAACCTTTAGCACAGCCAGCCAAAGGCGTACAACAGGTCTGCTTTAACCCTGGTGCTTCGCAGGGGGTTTATGTCTGGAGAGCAGATGCACACATGTGGACTGGGAGATGGGGAGGAAGGAGAGAGAAGATGTGTCAGGGACAGGTAAGTGGAAAGTCCGAGTGACTGGAGCTCAGAGCTGCACTTTGAGCTCGTGACTGCGAGCTTCTCTGCCAAGTTTTGCAATTCATCAGGTAGGAAGGTGCTGTGTGAGCACAGGGTTATAACATTACCTGGGAGCGTTTCACCTGCCAAAAAAAACAAAGCAGAAAGTAAAATTTCAAAAGAACTCACAAAAAGAATCGAACAATCAGGAATAAACTCCGCTGGACCAAATTAGGGAATGAATTCTCCTAATTACCACAAGATGCTCCCAAAGTCTGACAGTATCTCTCGGAGCAGATGTGTTCAAATAATATTTCCTCAGCCTCCAGCCTGCGTGGGCAGATTCCAGAACCAGCCACTAATGTTAAAAAGTACCTAATAAGCATCAACATTAAGAAACTGCCTTGGCTTTTGGTGCTTGCTTTTTTCCCATCCTCCAGGCCAAGCTGCAAACACTTTATTGGTATTATTCACATCAGAAAGCATTTGATTAAATAAAACAAACCACTAAATTCTGGATCCATGAAAGCAATTGCTAGAAAGGAAGGACTGGAGTCCTTGCAGTTCTTATGCAGACAAAGGAGCAAAGGAGCAAGTCTTAGTTTTTACTAACAGTGACAGCAAACACTGCCTGCCTCTCTGGAAAGGTTTTCTTTAGGGATGAAGAATTATACACACTTGCACACAGATCCCAGGCAGGTTCACTCATTTCCCACGTGAAGAGCTGCAGCAGAAATGCTGTATGGTGACGGAGGTTCTTGGAGTGCTGTCTTTGCTGCACAACGGCAACTTTGCAGCTGCAGAAAAGCATCAGATAAAATCATGCCAAGTTTTTCTCCCTTGTGCTTTCTGTGCTGCTTCGGGTTACAGCTAACTGAGGAAGAAGCAACACGAGTCTTGCAGGCTCTTTTGATCTTTGCCCTTTGTGATGCAGTGACAAGAAAAGTGAAGAGTCGGGCCATGCCTGAACAGATATGGTGTGTGTAGAGAAGATGGAAAATGTCTTCAGAAAATTTGCCTCATCTCTGGTAGCCACCTGACCTCTTAGGATGCTTCGCATGGCCTTTGCAGGGCTGCATGAGGACAAAGATGAGATGGCTTCTTGGAAGAGCTAGGAATTAAGAAATGCTACTTAAAAGCTTGCCAATTTATTCTTCAGAAGGCCCCTGCAGCATTACACAGACAGCAGGTATCTTTCCTGCTTGTTGAGAGCTCAGTTTCAAAATTCAAGATCTCGTCCTCCTCACAGCCCCCTCTCTACCCCCACTCTGCATTCTCATTTCTGAATGAGCTCCAAGGTTGATTTCCTGCATGTTTGAATAGGACCAGCTTGACACAGCCTGCCTTGGGATGAAATCACCAACTTGGCTTGCCTTCCATCTGAAAAACAAATCCTTCTGCAGGGCTTTCATCTAGAAAAAGGACAAGGATTCTGAAACGCAGGCAGGCCTCTGCCAAGTTCCTGTGAACCAGTGCCTGAGCTAAGCTTATGTTTGCTGTGTATTTAGCTTAGCTTTAATAAACTGAGAATTTACACTAAAAAAATAATGCACGAACCTCCTCCTGTTTGCTTTTGAAATAAAGAATCACAAATACAGGTAAGAGAGATGTGGAGGATACGGAGTGCTTACAGAAACTTGCTGTTTCCACAGATGAAATCAAGCATGTGGAAATCACACACAGTGTGAGCAAAGACGAGGGAGAGCACAGAGAAAGGAAAACTAGGACAGCAGCATCAAATGGTGGGTGTTCTAACATCATTCCTTCCTTTCCTTTGACTTCTTCTGCGACCAGATCTTAAAAGGTACCTGATGGGAATAACATCTTTAGGGATCTCTGGTCTTCAGCTTTACTATTAACTCTGCAAGAAAATGGTGATAATAATGCAAATTTATGGTATGCAAGCAGTGTCGTGGCAATGGCTGGATGGTAAATGGGTATAAGGGGTGAACAGTGAGCAAGTGAGGGAACAGGGGGCAGCCAACCAAGGGCAAGTTCCAAACCCAGAAGGAGGTGCAACGACACATGCTGAGGGCCTGCTGAGGGCTGTGGTTCTTGCACTGGGGCAGGGTTGCTTCAGTGGCAGTCCCCAAATATGACCAAAAAATCTAGCTAGTGATGGTTGAGAGAACATCCTAAATGAGTGAGATGGCAACATAGTAAGGTACCCAAATGTAGTACTACAACTGTACCAGGTTGCAAAGGTGTTTACTGGGCACATGCAAGCAGCTACAGGCAAGGCTAGGTTGCATATCTATTCTGCAGGAGCTTGTATTAATTCTTGCTAACACTTCCACTCGTTGGCCATCTAGGGTCTGAGAACCACCATATGGTTATCATTGGTACCGGAGAAGCACGTGGCCAGGACATGTGCAACTCACATTTTCCTCTGGACCACACTCAGCCTGCACTTGTTTATTGTGGGGGTGAGACTGGAAAAATCATTGACTCACTGTCAGGAACAAAATATTTAAAACCTTGAGTTGAAAATGAGTCTTTTAACCAAGTTTTTTTGCTGGTGTATAGGAAAGAGAACACATATTGAGCAGGAAAGTTTGAGGGCTGCACAAGTGGTTAAGATACAGTGCAGGGACATAGCATCGCTCTGGCCAACGTCAAGTTTCTACTCCAACCTTGCTCTAAGCTATACCTGGTTGAACCCCCACAGAAAAATAACCACACTATCTCTGTTCCTCAAGTTTTAGATATCACTGCACCTTGCAATGTTTCCATCCAAAATGATCTGACCACATATGGACCCATCTGCAAGGATGTTATGACTGCACTCTGGCCCATACTGGCCCTAGAATACAATGTGATGTGACAGAAAGGGAGTAAAGGTTTAATGTGGAATTCAGTGCATTTCAGGTACAATACCCAGCTCTGCCATGCACTTACTAGCAACTTTGTGCAAGTCATTTTGGAGGCTTGGTGCCACAGCCTATGTTACTGGGTCAAAGCTTGCAGTGCACATGTGGTTCTAACACCACATTGTTTATGATTTACAATAGAAAAAAAAATAAGTCTGTAGAAAAATTGAAGACATTGAATGGCTGTGGGCAAAAAGTTCTCAAATGTGTGCAGTGCTACCCTCTGTTCCATTGCACAGCTGAACTCAACAGCTGCACTCGAGTCTGCTTCAGTGATGCTGCCTGAAACGCATTCATCTACCCACAAAGCTCCTGCAGATCTAAGGAGGCTCTGCTGGGTCTAAGATCTGAGCCAAGCTTAAGCCTGGATTCTGTGGCATCCAGTTCCATTTGCCACGATGGTTTCTGCCAAGCTCGCCTGACCACGGGAAAAGCTTCCAGTTCTAATTCTCAGCTCTGTTCTCTTGCCTCTTTCCATTCTTCCTCTCTCTTTCTGCTGCCGGAAAACACACGAACAATGGAGATTAGCCAGAGCTCAAAGGCCTTTCAAGTGTTTTCCAAAAAGCATGAAACCTCTGCTTCTATTCCTTGCTGACGTCATGCAAAGCCAGCTCACCCCCCTCCCCACACTCTCAAACATCTGAGAACAGTGAGTGCCTCACATCATTGAAGGGGTTCCTGTCCTCAAATCTAACAAACAATAAGACAACTGAACATCTGGAGGGAACAGATGCTTCTTGCATCTCTAGAGAATATGTTTCCATGTGTACTTTATGCCACCCAGGGCTGTGTGCTTATGAAGAAGAGGAATATGGGTTCCTTGGCAGAGCAGCACCCACCAGCCATGAATCAGAGTTGCTCAGTGCACAGATATGTAGCTGTAGATATGTAGCTGGTGGCACACTGCAATGAACAGTGACAGACTGAACTTTGCTGTTCACCTGATGACTCCAAACTGTACTGCAAAGACAGGCAGATCTTCACAGCACATTTGAATCAGATAGATCCAGGAATAGGTGGGGGTAAACTGCTAGCTGAAGGCTGTAAAGACAGGCATGTACAAAATTAGTGGGCTAACTGCCCCACAGCTGACTATTGAGAAATTATTCCATTTCAACTCATAGTAGGGCTCTCAGGAGAATGGGCTTGCTTGGTTCAGCCTGTGCACCCTCCTTTCAGAAAGAACAGTGCAGGTTTTCAAGCAAAAAAACCCCAGGGATTAATTAAAACCACAGTCATTAACTACAGAAGAGCCATCTCTGGGTTCTTGACCAAAATCACTACTGGGGCAGAAGCCTCGTCCCCCCTTGCAGACCAAGCACAGAAAGGAAGAAAGTAAATCTGTTTTTCAGCTATGACATCTGCACACCCTGCTCAGATATCAGATTTTCACTGCCTGGCACCCAAGGAAGCCAGAGATGAGCAGCAGCACAGACCAGTGGAGGCTGCCAAGTCAAGGCTCCACGGGAAGGGCACTTTGAAGATTGGTCATGTACTATTTTTGCAGCCCAGCCCTGTGTGTTTATTATGCCAACTGCTAAATAAACTTCAGTCAGACCCTCAGCAGTCTCACCTTAGGAAACAGATGAGTGAGATCATACCAGCTGAGTGAGAAAGGGAAGATCTGTGCTGAGAAAGTCCCACCTACCAACAACAGGGAAGGCAGACGAGGATGGTGAAGCTGCCACAGTTCTAGTCCATACTCAGCCAAGACAAGCCCTAGAACTCCAAACTCATGGAACTTTATAGTTCAAATCCACAAGATATTAGTTTAGTTCAGTCACTTCCAACATGGTCGCTAAGCTGCCAAGCAGCAGCATAGGGAGTTACATAGAAATAATCCTAGCCTGAGCTTCTTGTGGCATCATAAATTGCCTGTGTCGTCAGTCAGCAGAAATTTGAGATGAAATTCTTTCCTTTGCAGTTGATTATTTCCAAGACTTTGCAGAACTGGTGAAAGGTGCCGAATCGACAGCCCTGAATGCCTTTCCATTTGTCCACAGAGACAGGCAGAAATAAGCCGATAATCAGAACTTAAAGCTGCTCCACCAATGTACTGCAAAGCTTTTGCTTGAGTTGGGCTACTCTTCTTTCTTACTGGTCCGCACCATGCAGCTCTGTTGCATGCCCTGGAAAAATCACAACCTCAAACTTCTACAGCTCATTCACAGGGCCAAACCCAACGAGAATTTTACCCCATGTGTCTGGCAGCCCTCTAAGGGTGAAGCAGCCTCTTCCAAATCCACTGCTGATGTTTATCATGGCCAGGTGCAAATCTTCTCGCGCTGGCCTGGAGCCATGAGACCAGCATGTTTTTAAGAATTTCACCCTCCTACCAGACAGTGTTTTTCAATATTTTGCATTAAATCTTCTGCTGTATTTGATTAGCCTGCAGCAGCTGTTTTCCACTCTCACAACAAATCATAAATCTATAAGCTTATGTGTGAGAGACTGTCTGTGCCTAAGAATGCATGTGTCTGAGAAACTGTGGCTGCACAGTTGCACGTGAGTCCATACCTGAATGCAGTCTTGAGTGAGGAAGAGCAAATCAATGAACCCTCATGCATAAACAAGTTTGGACCCATGTTGGAGGCCATATGATTCCACAGGGTGGCTTATAAAAGCTTGTGCGTGCACACATGTAAGAATTCCCACTTGGAAAATGCAGCCAAATTTGTGCAGTTCTTTAAAGGACCGCTTCACACTGAAACCACGAGAACTGAAGCTAATAAATGCTTGATTGCACCAATGTGATTGCAGATAAGCATGCACAATGTAGAGGCACAGGAATATCAGAGCACAGGTAAGAAAGTGTTACGAAGCCCTGGCTTGCACCCATTCCTGTGCACAAAATCATGAGTTCATGTGCAGTCGTGTTTGTGGTTGTGTGTACTCAGACAAGAACTGCTTGTTGTGATGCCAAGGTCCCCCAACCCACAGCCAATTCAGATAAGGAGAGCAAATGGTTGAAAGAGAGGGAGGGGAAACTGCTACATACATTTATAAGAAAAAAAAAAAAAAAACCAACAAAAAACGTTATTCAAAGACTATAAAAGGCAAAAGTTTGGATGAAGGAGAATAGAGAGGGTTGCCAAGTCATTACCAAAAAAAAAAGAACAACGAGCAAGCTGCTGCCAGGTCCTGGCACGTGTGCTTTTACTTGTATAAATCAGTCACTGCAGACCTATGGTAGTTCTTGCTGACAGGCTGTCAAGCTCCTTGGCTGGGGGAATAGGGCATGTGCTTTACATGCACTTACAGAATAGTAAACTGTTATTAAAAGTGGGAAAAAAAATCCAGTCTGATTTACTTGCGGTTTTGCATGCTCAGCTGTATTATCACAGAACAAATTCACTCGTGCACAGAGTAGTCTGGGTGCATGGAAAACTACAGGCTAACCTCCCTGTAGAAGCACTTGACCTCTGAAGGGGATAGGCAGAAAAACAAAACATCTCCATGATCTGAGAGTGGTAAATGAAGAAATGGTCTTAAGCCACAGAAATTCTGCGTGGATTTCAAACAGCCCAAAGCACTGGGGGATGTGGTTCCCTCATGCTTTCAACTGGACAGACACCTGTGAACGTCTCAGCCTGATTCAGGAGATGGGGAAAGCACCTCTAGGCAGGCTTAGCTCAGGGCTGGGATCAGGCCTGCTGCTATGTACAGCACAGACTCATTAGCTGGGCGCAGAGCAGAGAAGCTGCGTGTGCTCAGTGAGCAGCCAACAGTCCTGAGCTGCCTGGGGTGCAGCAAAGGGGGAAGAAGCTTGTTGCTTTCAAAGGTAAGGGAAACAGGGAGGCACATGCTTTGTCTGAAAGCTGCTGGGACCACTGGCACGAATGGGCTCCAGACAGCAGGAGATAGGAAGAATGGATGATCAGCTTAGGGGAGCAGGGAATTAAAAACAGTAAAGCCAAAGAAGGACCAAACGGAAATGCTATATAGTAAGAGAAGAAATAGATAATTGTCTGTGGAAAACCTGACCAGACTAGTTCTCGCTGTATTGACTTTGAGTTCAGTATAGCTTCGTCACTGCCTTCCCACGTTACAGGGCACTCATCCTGCTTTATCACTCAATAAGATGCACAAATATAAATACAGACACGCACCAGTCTGGACTATCTGCCTGTGTTATCCCACCAAAACACCACGTCAACAGCCCTGACTACCATCCAGAACCTTTCAGCCTTCCCAAGACTGTATGTCTTTGACTGTATTTCTCAGTTTATGGGGTACAGGGACTCACCTGCTGCTGAGAACCTCTGCTTACCTCATCTGGAACCTGTTCTCATCACTCCCTATGGCTGATCTGTCCTCAACAGCATATTCCCTCGCTGAGTGTTACTGCTTATTTGTTGTGGTCTCATCTGGAAGAGAATGCTTGTAAGATAAAAACAAATCTAAGCATTACTACTAATACTATTATTAAAACATTACATAAAAAATAACCTTCTTCTAACAGAACAAAACAAACACCAACAACTGCAGCAGCCTAAATTGCAACCCAGAATGAGATCTCATTTGAGCATGCAAGCAGACAAAATGTCAGTAATAATTCTAACACTAATTCAGTGTTAGATAACAGGGAGCACAGGTTCTCTGGGACAAAGAATGTGGATATAATGGAAACAAAATAGAAAAAAGAGATGTTTGTGTGGATTTGCAAAGCAAGCCTGCCGCCAAATCAAGCTCTCAAGGTTTCCAAATCACAGCTCCTGGCCTCAGCTGATGGACTCACTGCCTTGCTAGTATGCCTTCTGCACATGTCCAGAACGACACAAGATGCTCAGAGATGGGTTGTGCTGCTAAGTGTCTCAGGGTGGATCGTGGGGAGAAGGTCAGACTTGTGCAAGACTCGTATGTTAAAGTAGGTCACTGATCCAACCTATCCATTTAGGGTTATATGCCTTACTGATGACTTCAGCATCTAACTGTCTTGACAGCACTGCCAAAACATTAATGGATCTAGGGCAAAACTCAGCCCCGAGCAGGAAGCCAGTGCAACACCCAGGCACCTTAACCGCGTTCAGAACTATGCTTAACCAAGATCTGAAGGGCATGGGAGCAAACTGAATTGTTAGCAAGCATGTTTGTAACACCAGTTATGTTCCTGTGTGGTCTCAGCAGTTGCACAGTGGCCTGCAGCTGACAGATACAACAACCTTTCCAAATGTTACTGGGGATCATTGCGCATCCTTTACTGATAGGGACAGAGAGGTGCAGAAAATACCTACAAAACAAACCTAGGGAGAGCCTCACCCAGAGAACTGTCACTGGACACTTGTTTTTTGAACAGGAACAGTATACACCCAAGCCCAAGTGAACCAAAAAACAAGTACAAATACCTCAGCTGTTATGTGTGAAGGTACCTCAAGCAGATTATGTTTGTCTTCTTTAAAAGGTGTGGCTGTGAACATAGGGCTTGGGGGATTAAAGGAAGGGGGAGTAAGAAGCTAATTGGATTCTATTTGGAGGTGGATTTATGTTGGCTGAATTTTTTTGGTCAGCAGCATAGTGGAACCTGTCACTTGTAATTGAGCTAATGAAACACCTTTGGAGATTAAAAAAACCAACAAAAAACAACCCACGAGCTAAATAGGGACTTGGTGGAGAGAGCTGAAGCTCATTCACTACAGGCTTACACAGAGATGCAACTGCTTTGTTTAAGAGCAGTGGACTGGGAAGGTAACAGCTGAACAAGTTTTACTTTGCAAAATCTGTTTTTCTCACTCAAGGCTGCTGGACCAAGGGGTAATTAGGCAGATTTTTTTGTTAAGGACACTCATCCAGGACAGGAATCTACGCTCTGCCAATATGGTAATGCAATTAATTAATTCCAGCCTCTCCCCTGGTCTTGTTTTCAATAAATAGAACAGGGAGGGCAAGCTGTTTGCTCCACGGTTATGGCAATGGAACAACACATGGCTTAGCTGAAAGATGGCTTCAAATACCTGGCCTTCTTGGTGCACTTTTACAGTGAGCTTCCATTTTCCAGCTTAGCTCCTTTCAGTTTTTAAAAGGAGAAACAAGAGATTGTTTTCTAGTCTTCAAAGCTGTAGCAAACCCCCACTGACCTAAAGCCAAGCAACCAAACATGACTTGAATGCAAGTGAGGGAGTCCTGGCTTCCCAGGCCTGCCAAAAGGCTGAGCTACAGTCCTGCAGGGAACTGCAGCTTCTTTGTGAAAAATGTTAATGTATTGAAAATAAATACCTTGTCTTCCAAGTCAGGAAGAAAAGACACTTTTATAAAACCTTAATTCCACTTCTTTCCCCCTGCATTCCCTTCAGGAGTTTAAGAATAGAGCTAGGTTTAATGAGAAAAGAGGATGTACTTGACACCCCTGATAATAAAAAAAACCCACAGTACTGAACACTGTGCAGTTGTACAGATAATAGTATGGGCATGAGGAGCACAAGAGTGGGCTTTGAGTGCACAAGAACAGATCTGTGCCAGCCTCACTACTCAAGAAACCCTGCACATTGTGTAAGAGAAACAAGAGCACATAACACTGCATGAAAAACAGAGTTACTACATGAGAAGGCAGAGCACAGACTTAGGTATACAGACCCTGCACAGATTGAGATGGCAATGATATCCTGGAGGCTGGCTTTTAATACTCTGATAGGAGAGATGGTTGTTCAACATTAAGTGCCTTTTTCCATTTAAAGCTTCCTGCTGTGGTTTGATTCCTCCTTCTCTGGCTTTAGGAAAGAAGACAAGCACCCGCTTGGCCTATTAGCAGCTACCTGGAAAGAGGAATGCCTTGAGTTAATGAGGGGATCACAATAGCCAAGGTGCTGAAGGAGAAGAAAATGTACCTTAGTATGTCAGCAAGCTGCATTCTACACTGCTAGGTTCTTTGTGTCTTCCAACATGCAGCTTAGAGTCTCTGTGTTGGACAGCAAACAAAATAAAGGCTTTTTCAGAGCACGGGTACTGCAAACCCACTTTGAGATGGAGGATTTCTGGCATCATCACGAGGAACGCAGACAAAAACAGATCATGCCCAGTTACGGCTCAGTAGCTGATTCAGTGAATTTGTGCAAATGGCAGCTGATGGGGAAAAGACACCATTGCCAGTGTTTCAGCTAACAGTTCAGCTGCCAGTTTTTGAAAAAAAAGGGAATCTGGTACCTTCCTACAAAGCTGTGATGCTCCTACAAAACAAGGGAAACAAGGGCAAAACCAGTAGCAAAAAAATAAAACAAATAAAAAATAGATAAAACAGCACAGACACAGAGAAGAATGATCTCCATGCAACAGCTTTATTGCACCCAGAGCTCCACAGACACTCTTTTGATCAGAGCCATACTTTAAAGGCATTCTGTCCTGCTTTATAAATGGCATAATATCTGGGGAGCCAGGAGCTTGCTATTTCACAGTAAGCACTATTAATTGTTCTGCTTATCATGTTGTGCAGTTTGACCTGACCTACCAATTTCCCTCCACTCCTGCTGCAAAACATCCATCACTTCTTAAAGGGTTACATAAAACTACACAGAAAGGTTCTGGTTTGTGTTAGCTTTATTGCTATAGACTTTAATAAAGCACCCATCACAGTTGCCTAACCACAGAATAGGTCAAACTCCTATAATTCTTCTCATGTCTCCAGAGGGGAAAGCTATGCAAAACATAAAATTTAACCTCCCAGTGCTTTATTACTGGCCTGGAAAGATGTCAAAGGCCGTGTGAGCTTTCACTCATTCCTTGCTCCTTTACAGTCTACAGCAACAGACCAAAGGAAGAAAGCAGGCAAGGCAAACAAGGACAGTGAGATGGCAACATTAACCACGCTCTTCATGTCAGCCAACAGCACACCAAGGGTAATATGCAACACTGAGTTACTGGATCAGGAAAGACAAGTGTTAACAAGTGGCATTTGGAAACTTAACAGCTCAAATGGGCAGCTTAGAGATCAGCTTTCTTCCTCAACAATAGGTCTATGTGGGGTGAAGCCACTTCTCCAATGCCAACTGCTGGCAAACCTGGCAGGGAATCCAACACAAAGGCTCATCACAGCTGACTGTGCATGCAGCAATAGCGAGTGCACTATATTCTGCAGGTTTTCTTCAGCATTTTGCTCACTGAACCTGCTACATACAGGGTAGTAAATACACGGAATGACTCACACTTGTACACACGTCAGTGGGATGTGCAACAAACCCACTTTGTGTAAGTGCCTCCAAAATCTGCTACCTCCTCCCAATGGTAGCGACGAACCAGAGCTCCTCTGCATCCTTGCATTCTCAGAGGCACGGATGAGCAAAGAAACAGGTTTGTTTGCTGTCCCCCACCTCTTCTTGACCATGCTGTTCCCTGGATGAGCAGGAAAAATACTGGAGAAACAAAAAAGCCACAGAATTTCTGTGATAAGAAATCCACTCGGGCATTGTTTTCTACATCTGTCTCACAACTGCAAATTAATTCCAGGTTAGCTCATGTCCGTACTAAATCTTTAATGGCACTGCACAGTAATTGCATCCTGCCTTTATCTCATGGATCACGGAAAATGGGAGTCGGGTACGACTCCTGTATTATAGATGCAGGACTTGGGCATTGCCAGCCAGCTGGACAAAGAACTTTTGTTTTCCTTCTATGAAATAGTGTACTACCAAATGGGTTTTCAGCCCAAGGAAGCATCCCTCCCTGAGATACCAGATGCTGACCATGCAACGTGCAGCAGCCATGTTGCCTTCAGATCCCCTCAAAGACATCTGAATGCCTGCCAGATGGTGAGGGCAGGAAATAAAGTGCATGCATACGTGGGCCTTCACCGCATGAACCAGTGACACTGCAATCACAGTGCTCAACAAAACAACGTGCTGAACAGCTCTTTCGAAAGGAATTTAAAATAGGAACGCAAAATTAAAATATTGAATTACCTCACTGTCAGATTTAAAATTAAAAAAAGCTGCAAGTCTTAAGACAGTAAACAAAATTCTGCCTGTACCACAAGCAGAATTTTTAAGAGCAGTTCACTGCCTGTTTTTTCAAAGAGATTCTTCATCCTGGGCTTGCCCTCACTTTTGAAAAGGAGGCAGAGCTGCGCATTTTTTATTTCCTTAAAACAACAAGTTAACCCAAAGCCATTTCTTCTTGTTTGGCTCTTTCTTTCTCTGTATGAATTTCAACTCAATCAACGAGGCAGTTGCGTAACTGTTGTTTATAATTGCTGTCACGTCAGCCCTGAAACTGGTCACTGTAACACTGAAGTTACATAAAAGGTTTTGTTAAGATTCTTGTTATTTTTCGCGCTTAAATTGTGGGAAGACAAAATTCAACCTTGGAGAGACGTTTTGGTTTCCCAAACTGATATTTTAGTGTCTTTCTTCCAGCTCTATGGAATGCAAGGGTCTGCTTACCCCAAAGCTCTGTACACCCCGTTAATGCACAGGACAGAAAATACAGAGCAGCAACTCTGTCCCAGCACAGAAGTTCACAATATGGGTAAGATGTTAAGGAGCAATTTAAACCTATTCCTGGAAAGGCCCACTATTGGAATACTTCAGTGGACTGGGACTGTCATTTACCCTGCTGAAGCTGAAGTCTGAAGGCAGTGGGCTGTTGGCCTTCAGCAATGCATTGCAAACCCTGAGTAATCACTTCTGCTCGTGTCAGAATTTACACATATACAAATGATCCTGCACTTGAGTCATCTGCTCCACCAGCCTGCGGTCTCATCGCTCCTCTCTCAACGTTTTTGTTTGCTCCTCTTTCACTCAGAGGTGTTCTTACCTGGGAGACTTCTCCACCCTCTGCAAAGATCTCAGATGATCCATTTTGCCACCAGTATTCTGGTATTCTGTCTTTCTAGACAGATGAGTGCCCAGGGGCATCCTCACATCTACCTTGGGTCCAAGACTGTTTGAAAGTCGTACTGCACTACAGTCCAACAAATAATTAAGGACTACGATTTGTTTTGGTGTAAATGAATGCTGCCCATATTTATTCAATGCTACTTCGTGCTTAACAGCGATCTATAATCGACATTGGCTTTTCTTAGAAACGGTCTGGAAAATGTTAGGGTCTACGTGAAGTAAAAACTACAGCAAAAGCTATGCTGAAGAACCATCAACATTCTCCCACTCCAAAAAAAATATCTCAAGACCACAAAATATGTCTGCTTCCTTACGATGAATATCTTGTCCATAAGTCCTGTCTCTCTGCGGAGGAGGTTTAGGGATGAGTGCAGGATCACATGAAGCCATGTCTCTGCTGTTGACTGCAAACGCGAGGGAAGTTTGTAAGGGCTAAGAGCAAAGGGAGGCTCTTACTGGAGTCTGAAGCTAGTGACCTGTCTCATCCAACTGAAAATTAACCAAGAAAAGCATCGTAATAGCAGCCACTTCTGGAGGGAAGCCGCAAGGAAAGAGTTTGTCAACCAATGTTTTCGAATGCTCGTTGTTCAGAATTCTTTCTGAATGAGCACATGTTGTGCGCGCGTGCGTTTGTGTACAGGGGAACAGGCAGTACTTCGAGAGAAAAAACTGCTATCTTCGAAGTTATGGAAGGATTACGAAACACAGAGTGAAGCATCTAGATTTATGCAAGTACGTGAAAGAAAGGGGACGCAGTTTAGACCTACACAGGAGGTGTGTGCTCAGAGATACGCCCATATAAATCCAGTCAGAAAGGTGAAAAGCAGCTGGGTTCAAAACAGGAGGGAACCATGAAAGTCATGGCTGTTATCAGTAAGTGCACATCTACTGTACGAGAAGGTCCACATTTCTTGAAAAAAGTGTTTAGATCCAAAAGTCAGAATGACTGAAATCTACTTCTCAGAAGAGCTCTGAGCTGTAATGAGGCTCTAATGTACACACTTACCCCTGCTCTGCTTGCTCATGGTCTCACAGCAATCTGTGCTCTGAGAATGGTGATGACAGACTTATGTTCAGTACTCTGGAGATGCTGCACGCACAGGCAGCTTGTGAAAAATGCTTTATATATGATCCAAGCCAGGTTCCTCTTAGCAGCTTCATTTTCACCAGGATATCACACATGTAGGAATGGTGCAGTAAGCCCTGGAGAGCTCTTCCCTGCTATACTACATTCTCAGTAGCTATGAATTCAATCTCATCTCGGCCGCTCTCCTCTGTGCAAAAGAAATGGTACTTCATTACTGTCAGGAATAAAATGCTTAAATGCTGTAAGTAAGCCACAGAAAAACTTTGATAGTGTACATTTGCTTTGTTAAGGATCTCTAAATGATGTTTCATACCAAACCTAAACATATGGCTGTGCTTTGCAAAAATCCACTTCAGTCACAAGGCTGAAGCTTGATATCCATCAAAGGCAAGCATTCTCACAGTCTCGCCTTAGCTTTATGGCTATATATTCATATACAGTCATACAGGCTTTAGATTTGTAATGGTCTGCTAAACATCACTGCATATTCCTAACTGTAGTCTGACAGTCTTCAAAGCGACTGGATTCTTTCTTTTGAGGGAGACCAATGGAGTCAAAGCCTTTACATTTCAACCCGTAATTCTCTCCAAAGCTTTCCCCAGATATGTTCCCTCTTCCAATTATGCTTTTGATAAAATACTTCTGTCCCTACGCAAGGTCCTCAGGAACACAAGAACTTGGAATTTACTCTCAACCTCCTCTACCCAAGGTTCACTGTGACTGCTTATGCTGTGCAGTGGAATGCTTTTCTGTTTTTTCCCCCCACTTCCCACATCAGATGCTGACTCCTAGTGTATTAATCATGTCAATCTGCTTGTTATTCACACAGGTTACTGAGCAGAGTTATAATCATTTCAGCCAAGTAATTAAAATGTCCATTTTCCTACCTGTGCCCTACCTATGAGCTGATCCAGCTAGCATCCCTACTCGGTCAGACAGGCGGATCTGGACGAGGCAAATTAATTTAATTGCAAGGGTTGCCAGAGATGGCAGAGGTGTATTTTATGTCCCACGACTCTAGGCTGCTTCAGGACTGCTTTGCAGCTCATGGCTGTGATCATGATGACTGCCTACTGTCCTTTCTAAACATCTTCTGCTTTGACTAATTTGGTTAGGCTCATTCTTGGCTGGCTTTCCATCAATAAAACCCCATTCAGAAGACTGCTTTTGCAGAATACAGCCTAAAAGAGAACATTAACAAAAGGAAATGTAATATACAGTGGAAAATCAAACAACAACACGTACTTTATTCTTAATACTCTTCACTTATGTAACTTCTTCAATCATATCTTAGTGTTTACTTTATTTCAAACTACCTTCCCTCTAAGGACAGCTTGAAGAATATTGAGTTCTTCCTCATATTCAACTGTTTGGAGATGAATTATAAACAAAAGTTATAAGAGAACGTAACTGAAGTAACAGATCTGCACCTTTTAACCAAAGTCTTTTGCACTTTAAGACAAATGTTGATGTAGTTAAAGAATGACACAAAACAAAGATATACTCCATAAAACATTAATATTTTAATGAAAAATCTTAGCTTCATGTTTCTATCCAAAGACACTCAAAACTAGTTTTTTCTCCCCCCTTAATTTTGACCTATAATGGGACCAGTTTGGATAATTTTTTTTGCATTTTAGAACATTTTTTTTTAAAGATTAAACAACCAGGCTAGCAAAAAGGTATCCAATACATACTTTTCTTATATCAAACAAGCTAGTATTTCAATACAATGTAACTATACAGAATATATACATTACACATATGATCACAAAGCAAACACTACAGGCTCAGAACAGATTTGAAAAAACATGATATTCACATTGATTACAATAACTCTAAAAATGATTGCAACGTTGAAACGGCACTTAGTTTACAAAAAAAGTCACAAAAATATATATAGCCACCAAGAACTATGGTTCCTGAAAAATACTAATAGCCAGATAGTAGTATATAAAATGTGAAGTGTATTTAAACATCGTATACATTAAAAAACAAAACCAAAACCAAAACCCAAGTCTGTTAAGTCAATAAACATGCCAAGTAATCTAGCTGTGGCCAGCATCAACAAGAGAAGCTGTACTGTGGATGAGATGACGACTGGATATACGGCTGGTGACTGGAGACTGGCACAGTTAAGGGGGTTTCACTGTTACTAAAATGCACAAAGAAGCCCAACAATAATTTAATTCACATTTTTCCTCCAGCTTTACTCTTTCCCTCTTCAGGGTTTCACCACAGAGCAGCACCTAGAGTGAAGGCACTGCAGGTACAGGGCAAAGAAGCCGTCCAAGAAGTTTGTGTAGCCAGGGCTATAAGTCAGAATATCAAAAGCATGCACCAGCTAAACGAATGGTTAAACAAAATCACTCCTCTGGGGACATCAGCAACCCTCAGGAAGACTGTAGGTACAGTTGCCACACAGGCTGGCAGCACCAGAAACCGATTCGACTTTGTTTCAGTGCAGCCAGATTTGTAGTTGAGACCTGTGGGACACTGAATTACTGTGATAGCACATATCGAGTTAACAAAAACCCAGAGCAGTTAAGTACTGTTGCATTAAAAGAAATTCACATTTGTTTTTTATGGTACATTTCCTCAAATACTTTGAATCGAGTCCACCTACGAGGGACCTCCGATGTGGCTGAGGCACAGTCTGGCCTTGAACACTTTCATCTGCCATCGAGATGCTATGGAATTTATTATGTCCATCACTGGAGAGGAGAACCCTCCAAAGATGGGTTTCACCTTGTACGCAAAACTCAAACTTAATCCATCTGAATGAAAATTAGCTATTTTCCATTTTCTGATGGTGTGGAAGTTGCAATGGATCCAGGAGCAACAGGTGCTCCCACATCTGCATTTTCTCCATCCCTGCAGGGTGCACAAAGCTCCCGTTCTATTTGCATATAAAATGCTTCCTGGTGTGTCTCAGAGAGAGACTGGCAATAGTCTCAGTGCTCTTCCATCCTGGGGCTGGAGGGGAAAGCCAGCAACCAAGAAGCGACTGAAGCCCTCATATAAAAACTTTAAACCATAGCTTAAAAACAATAAAATTTTATCCTGTAAAGGATATATAGGGATCATAGTCTTACAAAATATATCTTACTGCATTGGCAGCTAGTACTTTTTAAAAAAGTTTAAATTCACACCTTTTAGACTCAAATACATGTGAACCCAGAACCATTTTCAATAACCTAGTCTACTAATCTCTCAGTATGAGAGACGTGACTACACTATCTGTGAGCCTGACAGCTGAACTCAAACAGCAGCGAGACAAACCAAGAAGAACACATATCACACGTGGTGCAAGAAAAGTGACAAGCAGTTCTGATGGGGAGCTTAATTTGCTGAACGTGAAGGCAATCCCATGGATCTCCAGGGGACTTGTGCTATGTGTCTGCATCAAAAAACGAAACAAACCCTTACAACTTGGCCAAATCTCCCACACAGCTAAAATAGCATTCATTTTTCTTCCACTCTTTGCAGGGAAATAGAGAGCTGCTGAATTTTATCCCCTCTCCCGAAACACCACATTGAGGCAGAGAAAAAAAACATCCCACTGCTTTCTTGTTTTTCTCATTAGACATACTGCTCATATGCACAATATGCAAGGGAGAAAGACCCCATACAGAAACCCCAAGAGTCTGGGACCCGAGCATGTGGCAGAATCTTGCTAGTTCTGCGGTAGTGAAGGCACTCAACTTGCAAATGAATGGGTGAGGAGAGGATTTTCCACTGGGTGAAAAGAACGGTGCTGCATAGGAGAAGGACATGCAGAAGTAACACGTTTGCATCACTTTGTGAGTGAATCTGGAGGTTACTCATCATGGCAGAAACTACTGCAACGGGTAGCATGTATCCATCTGAAGATCTCAAGACGATGAAGGGATTGGAGCATCTCACAGTGCATGCTGAGAGAGAGCTGGGACTGGTTTGCCCAAAGAACAGGAAGCTCAGGAGGATCTTACCCACGTGTACAGCTGCTGGATAAAAGGGTGTGAAGATGGAGCCAGACTTTTCTCAGTGGGCACAAGCTGAAATACTAGAAATTCCATTGAAACATGAGAAAAATTCTACTAAGGTGAGGGTGGTCAAACACCAGAACAGATTGCCCAGAGGAGACACAGGGTTTCTTCTTTGGAGATATTCAAAACCTCACCTACCCTGCTTTGAGCATGGGGTCTTGGACCACATGATTTCTGGGGGTCCCTTTCAGTCTCAACTATTCTGTGATGCTGGTCAAGTAGAAAGATAAATGCAAACCAAGGAACTTGAGGGTAGGGGGGGGAAGGGATAAAAACGCAGCCCGGGGTTCAAGACACTCAGATAACGTATGGAAGGAGGCTTTCTGATTAACCCCAGGTGTAGCATCAGACAAGTTTCTTCTAGTTTAGATATCTATCTCGCTCAATTTGGAATCCAAGTTTTAGCAACAGAACTTGTTTTAAGATGTTCTACATTTTTACATCTGTCCCGTGAAGAACACCAGTATTCCAAAGAACTGAACATTTCCAACAAGCTAGGGAGGAAAAATAAAAGGGATATTTGTGTTTAATTTATGCTCTACGGAGAAAAGAGACAGTAGCAAGAAACACAAATGGGAAAACTAACAAAAAATGCCTAATCCTAAACCAAACAAACCCTCTAAGAACTCTACTGCCCCTGCAGTGGAATCAGACTGAAAAGTGAGAAAAACAAACCAAACCAAAACAGATGTTACACAGATATTACAGGGATGAAAAGATAATGTGTAACACTGTGCAATGAAAAATGAAACCCACGGCTTGCCTTGTCCCAAAGTGTTAACTCATTTCTTCTCAAGGAAGAACAGATTAGAACTACAAAGGTAGCGGGGTGCTTTTTAAACTCTTCTTCGCTCCTCTTTGGTATTCAGAAAGCAGTCTGCCTTCTGACACAAAGTTATGACTTCTAAAAATCCAATATCCGGATACGTCTGTTCTGTGTTTGCACATCTCCTCACCAACAGACACATTAACAAAAGATCCAGTGGGTGAAAATTATCAGATTCTAACAGAAGTTTATGTCCATCTGCACCTGACCACTGAATGGTACACCTGTACAGTCTGGAACTGTTTCTGTGTGACTACTGTTTTACTGTGTGAATCACAAAGGAATCTCACGGACCTGGAAAGATGAGTAACACTTATTACACAAAAGAAAATCCTTTATTTGAGTTCAGTGTCATAGCCCTATAAGTCAAGATAAAACTCATCAAAAGGCATTTTCTTGTCTCACTGGCTTTTCAGTTATAGAAATCAGAAGTGGAAGAGAATTGGTCTTTAAATTCAGCCCACCAAAAAGACACCGGACCGAGTGGTAGCACAGCATCACAAAAGACTATTTCTCCTTCAAGCCCTTTTAGGAAGACCTCACAAAGGTAGACAACAAGACTGAACTGTAGCAGAGAACTCCTTTGCAGCATATTTATAAAACACTCTATGGATCTGGTAGGGAAACTTCACTCCAGTAACATGGAAAGGATTTCAATTCCAACCGTTTTCACTTTATTTAAGTAAAATGTGTATTTTGTACTTAACCCAGAGTGGAGAAAAACTGCTGAAGACAATGAAACTCTAAGTTCTTTCCAAAGGGCAATAGGCCATTATTCCTTACAAAAGCAGGCTATCAGTAGAAACAACCCAGACCTACAGAGTATCAGCTGCCTAACCTAACTGAATACAAACTGATGGTGCAATATAATACGACTTTTGTGTCCTCTGTTTCTTCAGGAGCACCCTTTCCTATCAGCATTTCCTCCTCGTGTTTGCATAAAGCAAATGCAGACAGAAAACAATAACTTAAAATCAAGATTCAAAACTGAGGGAGTGTACCATGCCTTTGGAATACAAAGGCCAAGTGATACCTACTCTCTCAGCACATCATCTGTAGGCGACAGGCATTTGGCATCAAACACCGAGTTAACTTCAGAAGCAATAAAAAAAATAAATCAAAAACCTCCTAATGTGTTTCCTAATTCAGCTTTCAAAGCAGTACCATAACCCAAACAGCCTCAACAACACAAGAATCACTGCTCTGAAAATCCCATACCCTAAATTTGCAGCTTTTTCTAAATATGGAAAAAATGAAATTGCAAATCTTTCACAATTTATTGCTTACTTGAGCTGTGTATATAGCTGGAGTAATGGCCTTTAA